TCCCTCCCTCTACCCTGCAATTTTATTGTATAGTGGCTCGCCATGCTTGGTGATTGCTTTTAATTATTTGATTGTTTTAGCAGTGGGGAGTGGGTGCAAGAGGGTGGGCAACAGGAGCACAGCAAGGGTCTGTGTAAAGCCTTTGGGTGAAAGGTTTAGTTTGCAGTGAAGGGGACCAAGCAAACTTTTGTTTGCTTGCTTTAATTGGGATGTAAATGGATGTAAATTCAATTGGGAATGTAAATGCATTCCCATATCCAGCTCTAAAAATAAATGTCTTGAAAGACTCAGCAGTTACGTCAAACGGGAGTAGCTAAGTGTAGCTAAGTAATTCCTCCTGTCCCTGAAATGCTGAACTACTTACACCTTTGAGAAAAAGTTGGTGCCAGTAGCGTTCTCTCACACTGCTACAGGGAGTGGCTGTTTCTCTGGTGTCTGAGGTGGATACACCAAACCCAAATCAAATTTTTAACACTGATGTTTCCATACTTGAGTTTGATTCCTTTATTCCCACACTTACAATGATAGGTAGTGCTCTTTGGCAACGTGTTAAAATTTCCTCTCTGAAGGTGTCTCATGGTGCAGGTCCTCTTGGAAAGCACTAAGTAGGGGAGAAAGGCATTCCCCTGTGTGTGCAGGAAGCCCGTCCTCAGAACTCTTGTTCTTTATGTGTAAGAACCAGAGTTTTGCTGAGGGTGGAGGGTGTAGCAAACGACATCAGTTCCTGCTGAACTTTGTGAAGAATTACTGATTTTGACCCTAAATAGTCTCAAAATATGGGTTTCTGGGCTCAGTGTCTGCTTCCTTGAGAAGAAAGGTTGAAGCATGTATTTTGGGATGCAGATTTTTACATCTATTCCTGTGTATAGTTTCAGGACCAGTGTAAAACAGCTGGGTTGGCATGCCTGAGAACCCTCCCTTTTCCTAAGATCTGAGCAATAGCTCAGAGCTGTAAATACTTCTGTGTAAAAGGAATACCAGGTATTGCTTACAGTAATAAAAGCATAGTGTATTTTCAGGTTCTCAAATTCAAATCTTGAGGAAACGTGGTATCACAGCAATGTGGTCACGCATACTACTTGGCCGCTTGCAAACTTCTTCACCGTTTTTAGCAATGAAACTACTTTTGAAACCAGTAGGCCTTCCCTGCTCCCATACTATAAATAATTGAGCAAGCAGTGTGACCCTCCTCACTGGGTCACTTATCGGTCTCAATGAAGGTTTTTGAGAAGGTTTTTAAGGTCTCTCACCCTGTCCCCTTTTACGGTAGATACTTTGTTAGAGGCATCCAAATTATCTAGGGTTTAATGTGAAAATCTACAATATGAAATAAGAAATATGCAATGTTAGACTTCTTTGTAGTATGTCCTACCAGGCTGGGCTTCGCCTAGCGCCCCAAGGCACCCTAACCCAACATATTTCTTGATTTAGCTGTGGGATGCAGTTGCAGCTCCCAAGTCTCCAGTGTGATTAAGCTGAAATACCTTTGTTGCAAGTACTGGCCTTAAACAACCCCCTCATTCTGTAAGTCTGGTTAAACAAAAGTGAAACTGTGCTGTCACATTTTGATTAAAAACTCAGGTTAAAGTTTTACAAACTTTTAAGTGGGAGACTGATTTTAGTGTAATTAGCTGAAGTAACCATTACATTTAAATTGCAAATACCTACTAACCTTAATATTGGAGAACTCCAACTTTAAGAAAAGATAATAGTTTTGATTTTAAGACATGTGCATAAGGAGGGGAGGTTGTAATTCTGACTTTTTTAATTACCTGTATATCCTAGAGCATTTGTATTCTTTCCCTGCATGTGACAGTCATCTCCATTTAATGCTAAATGAAAACTCATTTACTCACAGCTTTCTTGGAGACACCAACGTCATCTGAGAAGAATTAATATGCATCATGGAATTATGTACATCCCACCTGAGTTCATATGCCAGGACTTCTATTCTTAGTTAGTCTGCAAAATACTTTAATGTGATGTGACCATGGATTATGGGCATGCGGACCAACCCGTGTTCCTCAAAAAGGGCCTGGTAACTGAATGTGGAAGATGACTGTGATGTTTGAATTTCTCTTATATTGGCACCATGTTCTGTCATTGTTAGGTGACATCATACCTAAACAAACTGTTAATAAAGACTTTTGCAAGAAGTACTAATTTCTCGTTGGTTTTATATATACAGGCCAACTCTTCGAAGTCAGCGTACTGGAATAAAATAAAGTTTGAAAACTACTGAAGTAACTAAAATGCTGAGTGGTCTGGGGAAAACTGATTTTATATGGATCAGTTGTAGGGCTGTGCTTCACCACACCTCTTTCTGAGCCTAGGTGTTCAGAGAGGCATAACATTCACTGTATTTCGATGTGGTGAAACCAGCTTTGGGTTTCTACAGTGTCTCATTCCCCTGAAATTTTCAATTTGAAAGCTACTCAGGGGAAGCCTTACCAAAAAGAGGGCAATCCAAATACTAATACCTGATAAATTTTTTTGTTTATTAGTATATAATAATGTTCTTCAAATTCTATTTAATCTTGTGCAGTTGGTAATTAGTTATACTAGCTGTAAATATTTCATAGTACAGATGGAGACTGCTGGGTCATCTACTTACATCATGCTTGCTCCCATGTTTCTCAAAACAGTTCAAGTCTCAGAATCAAGTTTGCTGTTCTATTTCGGATTAAGGATATTGAAAAATAGTGGTTGACTGGCTAGCGAGTCAAGCAGCATTTCACAGCCTTCACAAACACAAGAAAGACAATGCTCCTATGCTTTTGTTGCTTGCATCAGCAAACAGAAGGGTGAGAATTACAACACAACACTGAGCACAGAAAATAAGGCACTCCGTGAGCAAATAATAGGTTCAGGGGGAATACGTATTGATGTGTATCAACACCTGCACCTGAGGGGAGCAGCAAGGAAGACAAAGCACACTCTTCAGCATTACAGTGTCAGGAGGAGAGGCAATGGGCACAACCTGACATACAAGACGGTCTGTACAAACATTAAAATGTTCTTACTGTGAGGGGGTTGAAGAACATGTTGATCAGAGAGGCTGTGGAGTCTCCATCCTTTCAAAGCCAATGAGACAAGGACCTGAGCAGCCTCCTTCAGTCAACGCTGCTCTGAGCAGTGGGGCTGGACTAGAGCATCTCCAGAGGTTCCTGCCAACCTCAACCATTCTGTGACCTGAAACTGTCCATAAAATGCACTGCTTCTTTGAGAAAATGCAGTCACAAAGTTTAGATTAATAATTCTAGCCAGACTAGGAAATTATCTTGATGTAAACTGAATAAAAACATGTGTGCACCTGGGAATCTCTTATCACTAAAGTCATTAAGTCATCTTATCATTAAGTCATCATCACTTCAGTGGCAGTACCTCAGTAACAAAGGACTGACAGATGCATGCAAAACCTAGTCGATTTTTTTTTCACCAGCTAAAAATTAAAGGACCCATCTCGCTACATAAAAGCTTCAGTGCATTTAATGCCAATATAGTTTTATGGTTTTTGGTTCCTGTGGGATCATCACATGCACACTTAATGACTCATCTACAAGTGTGAGTAGAGTTTCCTTGAGGAGATCTCTCAAGACCTGTCAACGTCTGCAGTGCTTTCTGCCAGTAGCATACGTTCCACTGCCTTTTACAGACAAACTGGCATTCCATCTTACCTGGCCTGTAACATATTGGTCATGGTGATGCGTGGGTTTTTCTCTCTTAAAGTCTCTCCAAATACAACAAACATGTTCACAGGAAAGGAATACCCACTCCAATGAGCACAGACAATGCAAAAAATATTACTTTAGTCATTCTGCTGTCTAATAATGGACTCCTTGTGCACAATTACTCTCTAGTAAATTCTGTTGTCACTTGGAAGTCCAGCTCCTTCTTATCTTTTTTTCCCAAGTGGATAGTTTTATATGGAAAATGCATACTCATTTGGCAAGAGGCTTGAAAAATTCACTGTCTTCCTTTCACAAAGGGGTGGTCCAGCAACTGCAGAGCAGAAGGGCGTTCATGTTGATCTCTGCATTTAGGGTTTGAAAAATCAGTAAATTAAATGAATATGCATTCCTTGATGTGATTGTAAAACATGAATGCAAACTTAGCCTCTTTCTTTTTTCTCATTTCTCCAGTCTTTGCTCAGTTTTAGTTGGGTTTTTTTGTGGTTTTTTTTTTTTTTATAAAGCTGGTAGTGAGGAAGGCAGATTAATGGGAAGAAGCTGTTGGAGTTTATGAATTACTATTAACAAAAATCATTCTTTGATTCTCTAAATTCCTCACAAAACTTTGAGTAGTTCAGCTAACATGGCTGATGTAGGAGTACCAAAGATATATTTAACAAGTGTGACAAGTATTTGTTTGATCCTGTGTTGATCAGGCTGTTCTGCCATCTCCAATCAACGTTATGCATCTTAAGGAGGCCATATGGAATTACAGTACTGTAATTACAATATTGGTTTGCTAGAGCCAAGGGCTTTGGGCTTTTCCAACCCTCAATTTGGAGGAAAAAACAGGGGAAGCAGTAAAGGACACTGATTTCTTAAATAATAAACAAATGGGGAAGATGGGATAAGGGAGGCATTTATATTTAGGACATGGTGATATCATCCATTAAAACTTGGCCACCACAGATGCATCCTGGCTTTTGAAAAGTTAAATATTTTATTTGAAAAGTGGTTTGTCTATATGTTTCCTTTTACCTAACAGTTCTTTCCACCTTTTAAACACTGTTCTCACTGTATCAAAGTATATATGATATCACTATATATAGTCCACAGCTTTTTTGGCTATTGTTATATGGTCCATAGGAACCATAAGCATACCATAACAATTCTAACCCAGGGATCAGAGATCAGGTTTCCTGCTGCCAGGACCACTGCCATACCCACTAAATAACACACCTCTCTCTAGTGCTCAAAACTGGTCTTCAGAAGTATGTAAAAACCTGTGATTGATTTTATAAAGACTACCAGAGAGGTCTGGAGCTTAGCTCTTGAAACTGATAGTTCATTTAAACATCTAGGAGAAAGCTGATATTTAAAACTAAACAAACACCACAAAAATAGTTCTTATAATGGGTGACTGCTGGTGATTTGGGATTTTTATATAGAGAACTTTATGTTTCAAGTAAGTATGTATTTCCTGGACCAGCAGTGATAACAGATTTTTCTATGGCAGAAGATAAGAATTAAGTGAAAGAATATTGTCCTCAAAACAACTTGCCTAAGCAAGTTGTCCTCAAAACAACTAAGCCTAAGCAAGTTGTCCTCAAAACAACTGCCATAAGTCAAACTCAGCCAATGTGATACTGGAACAGCAAGGCTTATTTATCAGACATTTTGTATAAAACCCAGTGGTGCCGTATTTCTGCACAAAAATTACAGGGAAAGTAAACAATGAGTAAAAAAGCCTAGAAAAAAAATTGTGAGGGTTTTCTTATACCATGAGAGAGAGTAAAGCTCTTTTATGTATACTATTATTTAAGAGTTTTCCTGAAATGTTGAAAAACATATGCATTTACAATAGTCATATCTACCAGGTAAGAGGTAACCTAGGCTCCCATTAGCAATCTCTATAATACAAACTATCTGCATTTTTCCTTTAAGTTTTCAGTCAAAACTCTACGTACCTGGTTAAGCATGCATGCACAAAATCCACTGCAGTGACAGAGAATCGATCAGGTAGGGAAGGCATCAGTCCTCTGTGAGCCCCAATATAGAACATGGCTGCTATCCTGTCCATGGAAGCCAGTGGTGGTTTTCCTGTTGCCATCTCAAACACAGTACAGCCGATGCTCCAGATGTCTGATTTTCTTCCATATCCAGATTCATTTATAACCTCTGGTGCCATCCAGTATGGAGTCCCATGCACAGACTTGAGCATCTCACTCTGTGTGCCACTGAGGCTTACCCAAGCTAACCTCCGGGCACAGCCAAAGTCAATTAGCTTTACTATACCATTTGGCATGAGCATAACATTATTGCCTTTGATATCTCTGTGTACCACACAATTGTCATGTAAGTATGCAACTCCTTGTAGAATTTGCTTTGTATATTTACGAAGAACCATTTCTGGCAATGGACCAAAACGATGAATAATACTAGAAATTGAGCCACCAGGAACGAACTCCATGAAGATGCTTAAAATGTTGTCTTCCAGACAAGTTCCCAAATAAGTTACAATATTGATATGCTTCAATGTCTTCAAAAGGTCCACTTCCTCATGAAACTTCTGATACTCCTTTTCTGTTCTGACTTGATCTGACGTATCCAAAACAAGCTGTTTTACAGCTATTAGCTGTCCCTGGCTTGTCAGGCCACAGTATACCTACAATGAAACTAGCATTTAATAAAATGAAACATGAAATAAAACTATATTTACTTATTTTAAACAGTATCTTTGTGTTTGTCATGTTTCATATCTCATGTTTGTTTGCTGAATATGACAACAGACAGTTACAAGGCAAGGTACAGCTCAAAAATGACCAGCACATCTCATAACATACTCAGACATTAACTTACCGTGCCATAGGCTCCCTTTCCAAGGACTTCACCTCTTGTCCACATAATAGGATCTTTGTTAATTAAACTGCTTCCTGGTAATTTAGTAGGTTCCTCAAAGCTTAGTGGATCATTTTCTTCGTTTGATGTCAAAAAGGCTTTACTGTAACTCTGCTTGAAAGATGATGGTCAGTGTGGGGAGGAAGCGGGTGAGAAAAAAAAAGGCTTCATATTATCCTTACATTTTTTGTAAGGAGTAATTCTTACCTGGCATGACTCATAGATATAGATATATATATATATACACAGATACATAGGTAGATAGATATACATACTCGTTGCCCATCTCATCAATACAATTGCTATACTAAGTAAAACTGGGTAAATATTTTCAAGCATATATCACAATAGCACATAACCAGAAGATTAGAGCATGACATCTTTTTTTCAGTTGACATAAAGACAGGCAAAAGAAACACTTAAAAGAGCAGGATACAAATCTGTTCTCTACTTCTTTTTTTTTTTTTTTTGTCACATGGGTAGAGTTTGCTAAGCTGAATGTGGCAATCATCTTGCTCTAGGTAACATGTAACCCGAGTCTGAGGAAAACAATTTGGACATGACTTCAGAGGAAGAAGAGACTACTTCAGAAAGATCATTATATCTAGCCATGGGTCTCCCTAAAAGTGAGGATGGAAGTAAAACTGGCACCTGTGTCTGCAGAAGCATAAGGAAGTGTATCAAAAAGTAGTGAAATAAATTTTCTTAAACATTTGTAATTTAAATAGAGAAAAAAGCTAACAGGGCCAAAGAGAAGTAGTACTGGTAGGTAAGCACTTTAGTAGGTGAAGGTTCTTAACTAACTTGGGGGCCAGAATCTAAGACTTCTGAGCTTGAAGTTTTGCTTAAGCATTAAGTAAACAGCCTTAAGTCTGTCTGATAAGCCAGTACTTGTAGTGCATACCTAGAAAATTATCTGGTTGCACTCAAGAGATTTGAGGAAACTGCCCTTTTAGATATACAAGAGTAATTTGTAGAGTCTTTTCATATTCCTTAGGTGTCAAGATCTCAAGAGCTCTTGCCTTGCCCCAGCACCTTTCTATGCACCTTTTCAGTTAAAATAGCCTCTTCTTTTTATTCGTGACTATTTCTCAATTTATCTTGACCCATCGTATAAGCCTTGATAGCTATTCCTGTCATGCCTTAGTACTATCTGGCTTGTGTCCTGTTATGCAGTCTCTATGATGAGTATCTTCAGCTGGGCACTGGAATAATCAGTGGGCAGCTGGTGCAAGGAAAAGGAACTTGATCATTAATGGGTACGTATCTCCTACCTTTCGTCCAAACTTGTCTTGAAGCATCACTCAAAGGAGCTAGCAAGTTACAAGAAATTACTTTTACCTTCTCTAGAACACTATTTACTATTGCTCCATCTCCAGTCATCATATTTTCTTCTTCTTTAGTATGCGTATTTTGCATACTTGTGTTTTTTGTTCTTGAACAGTTGATGTCTTTTCCTTCAAGTATTAGCAATTCTTCAGCCAGACAACAAAGCAACTCATCAGTCATATCCTCATTATCTGCCCAGGACAAAATGCTTTGACTTGTCTGGAAACTGGGGCTTGTAACACTTTTTGTCTGAATCACTGAAGGCTGAGTCAATTCATTTGCCAAATCACAATTCTGAGGTCTGTATGCCCAACTCTGATTTACCTGTATTGGAGGGGACTGACGCTGCAGCCTGTACGGAAAGGGCAATGCTTCACTTTTATTTATAGACTTGAAGGAGGCCTGGTCTGATTTCAGGCCTTTGCAGCCGTCCATATCCATCCTTTGCTGCAGTACACAAATGTTCTTGTCTGTTGTTAGTGGACTGATAGTTAGAGGAACACAGTCTTTGTAGTCTTTATCACTAAACTGCAGAAGATTCTGGCTACAGGCAACATGTCTCTGATGGCTGGATATACCCTGGCTGTCTACAGGCTGCTCCAAAGAAACTTCTTTAATAGTTGATAAGTTTGAATTTGAAAAAAAATTATTTTGCTTAGTTGATTTGGAAAGCTCTTCTAAAAATATAAGCTGATGATCTGTGTCTTCATGGAGCAATATCATGCTCCTTGAAGTTTTTATCTGAACATCTGAATCAGAAGTTATTACATTACCTTGTTCTGTGTTGCTGTCACTCAACTTGGTACTTCTGTCCTTTGTAATTAAACTTTTCTGCTTTTGTTTTGTGGCAGGTATGGTCTTCTTTGGCTTAGAACATGTTCTCTTTTGAGTATTTCTTACTCGGCTGCCCTCTCTCCCTTTCCTGCAGGTAGATCTGCAGATGCTAGCAGTGCATCTCCCAGTTGGAGCAGAACAAACATCTCTGTAAAATCTGTTATCATGTTGATCAAGCTCACGCATCTGGTCATAGACAGGAGTTCCAAACATTTCATAAATACCTGGGCCTTTGTCATTTGAATTTATTTTCTTGAACATGTCACTGTATTTCAGATCTACAAAAGCTGAAGCAGATTGTGCATGTGGTAAAGAAAGGGGAGTAATAGGTTTCTTTAAGATAACTGAGTTTTTGCAACTGCAGGGGAAACTGTGCTTTATAAGTTTTTGAGCACTCCGAGCGAAATGGTCTTTGTCAGCATGAGGGGGTTTTTTTTGATGCTTTGGGGAAGTCTCAGGTTCCATGTGTGACAGTTGCAAAGACGGGAAAATGTGACTCTTGGCATTACATTTTGTGGAAATCTCATCAGAAACAATTAAGTCTTCAGAAATCTTTATCTTGCTACTCATTTTAGATTTTGATGAATATTTGGGTTTATTCATCTTCATTTTACTTTTGCCATTCTCTTTGCGAGCAAGAATGTTGAAGCTCTGAGTAACATGAGGAGGCAGGCTACGAATTACACTCTTTTTTGTGGGATGCTGTTTAACAATGTGTAGCTCTCTAGCTGGGTCTTGTTCAGAGAATGTAACATGAACAACAGGTACAAGCCCACTTTGGTCTTTTGAAGTTGTTTCTGACAATGCTTCTTTTTTCATTTCAAATTCAGAGAGACAAACGTGATTTTCTGTCTGTTTTCCAGAAGGAACTTGCACTTCTACTCTGGGAATTCCTGCAACTACAGAATTATCTTCTAAGGCATGATAGGCCTCTATCACTTTATTTTTACAGGAAAAATCTAAATCACGATTGTCAAGCACAAAGTTTGCACTCTCACCATCTTCAGGTCGTCTGTAATCCACTAGCACCTCAGTAGCATTTCCTTCTTCTGGACCAGATCTACAGCAACTCTCTGTTCTTCGTTCCTCACTGCCAGCTCTCAAGGCATCTCTGTTGCTTGACATTGCAAATGTTGTCTGAGCTGTAAATATTCCACAGTTTATCAGAGCATTATTTGAGCTCAAGTAGGGATGCCTATCATCATAGAAACTGTCTTGGGTCATAAGATCTATTCTCTTACAAGCCACCAAAAGCTGGTACTTCATGTTGTCATTCTTTTCAGTATGGGTTGCTACATCAGCTTCCCTCCATTTTAAATTGCTTTGAATTTCTTCTTTCTTGTTGGTAGGGTATTTGTTATACTTGCTCATGCTGAGGTAGTGCAGGTCTTTCACTGGAGTGAACTCATCAGAAATAGTAGCCACAATCAGGTCTGATGACTTTTCAGTGTGCCTTTTTAATAGATTGTCTAACTGATAATGATAAAATTTAGTAACTGTCTTTATAGGCCAAGGAATAGGGTTCATGATATTCAAAATATTTCTGATGTGGGAGCTTTCATTGACAATATTACCCTCTGGAGGAGCAGGATGAATTGTTCTTACAGGCCGACACATCACGGGTGGCAAATGAAACTGTAATTTCCATAAAAACCATTAATAATGTGCTACACAACAGATACAGGTAAAATCTAATCATTAAGAGCCAGGTAGACTAAGAAAAAAAATCAGAAAAGGATTATTATTTTTTATATTCCCAAACTATTATGAAGTTTAATATCAAATCCTTAAGAAAATAAACTAATTTTCTCACATCCACAATTATTTCTGAGAATTTCATAGTACAGAAACTGGAATCTTTTGCTATAAGTCACAGGACATTCTCCATAATTTAAATAATAAGCTTTGTCCACACATACAAATCATCTTGTCTGTTACTAAATATGTCCTATGCCCCATAGCATGCTTGCTACAGGAATTCAAAGGCTGGTCAGTGGCTTCATATGCCAAAGTTTCTTTCTTGCTGTGCAGTCTCACTAAATGAGAGTAATACTGTTATGGTGATATTTAAAGTCTTTTCATGTGACCCTCTGAAGTGTGCTCATACCAGTAGTTATATCCCCAATGAAACTAGATCTCATGTAAGCAATTTTGAAAAAGCAAAAGCTAGACTGTTATAGCAGAATGCTGTTTTATCCATAGAGAAAACAATTACTACAAATAATTTATAGGTTTTAAAAGACATGCTTATAAATCTAAACATATAGATCTTCCATATGCTTAGTGTAGTCTTATAAAATTCCACTAACCACATTATACAGGCTACAGATTTAGCTCAGAGTTCTAAATCCACTAGAAGATAGCAAAGTCTGCACTTCACTTTCAGTGAAGTTAAATGGATAGCTACCTGAAGGCCATTTTTATACGGCAGTTAATACAGAAGTCCATTGTGTGTGGAATGTATTTTATTATTCCTTCTTTCTACTTCCCTCTCTTCCCATCCCATTAGTTGAAAGGTACTGTGTATCTTTGAAAAAGTATAGATTGAGAATTTGAGTACTTTGTTGTGATTATTCAGATGAACAGTGGGAATAATTTTCTGAAAATAGTATTTCTGTTTTTTAAAGGAAATGGAGAAAAATAAGCTTGAATATACAGGATATTTTAATGCAAATGAATGCAATAAAAATAATCACTGAGTCATATGCTCTGAGTACTCATTTGCATGTCTATATTCAACATCAGTTTGCAATCTGCAGGAAATTTTTGTTTGCATTCCAAGGGCAAACTGACATTTGATTGTGCCAGGAAAAGCAATGCATGCTGGTTTGAAATACACAGTTCTGAAGACTTTGTCTAGTTGGCATGGATTTAATAGGAATGATTAGTTTATCCTAAATTATATGCCTCTTACAAATCATCAGAGCCCAAGACATGAAATAAAGCTGTATTAAATAACACTGAGGTCAGCTAAATTATTTCTCAAACATTTCCCACCATGTGAACATTTTTTCACAGCTCTTCTTACGATCTTATGTCGGAACTTATCCTATTACTTTTGTACTTTTTTCCTGTGAACACTGTTGTATCCTCTAGTGGGTTCACTAAAGTATATAGCTGATTCAGTGAGTTGAGCTTTTTGTACAAAGGGCCATCAATTAATATCCCTAAAGGCCAATTTTTTTTTTTCTAAATATTTTATGTTTTGTAACTTTAAAGGCTCGTGTAGCGTGAAGCACAGATACATGTCAAATTGAGTTCTATCAGGAATCCTATTTTACACTTACCACAAAATTACATGTCAGATATGTTTAATCACAAGACCTTATTTTTTATTTCCTAATACAATAAATTTCAGCAATCATCTAATATCCAAACTGTTCCTCAATTGGGCTTCAATGTTAAATTACCACTTAAGACAAGGAAGTTGTTTTTTTTAAATTTGGCAAAACCAGGCATCTAATATATTGGAATTATATAGACATAAATATATATATATATATATATAGGATATATATAGACATTTAATATATAGGATGTACATACTTGAAATTGACTTGCATATTTCTATTTTAAAAGGGTTTATATCTTTTCAAACTTCCAACTTTTTACACCCCAAAATACCCGATGACAGGGATTTCCAAAATCTGTACTGACAAATTGTTGATTTACATCTGAAGATTTGGTGAAACATACATATATATATTTTATACACATATATACGTATATTTAATATATATATATCTTCACCCCAAAAATGACGACTAAGCAGAGGAAACTACCTACACTTCTGTATTTCTATTTTTAAGGTTTTGAAAACACATAGTACTTCTAACAGTGTTCAATTTGATATCTAATACCATCTTACCTTAGAGCTGTTGTTCCTGGGTTTTAGCATTGCTATATTTAACCCTTAAAAATTAAAACAAATTAAATGTTAGTTTGATATTTTTAAACAGACTAAAATTTTCACTTATAAAATAATTTCAAACTATAGGGTTCTGGAAGAACCTGTCTGATGTGTGATTGAAGGATTATACTATACATCTGCTACACAGAAAAAAAAAGTTGTAAGTTGAAATTTAATTATAATACTGAATTTTACAATTTCACTTTCTATAGAATACTACAAATATGACAATTTTAAAATACTTTAATTTAAGCAAATATCTGTCCTTGATTTCAGTAGTTTGCTAACTTTAGTTTGTGGCTATTTACTATTGCCAGCATCAGGAAGAAAGTGAAAGAGATGCCATTATGGCCCCACTCCAGCTATAGTTAAAATTTACATTTTGTGGGCTCAGTTTCATGATACAAAGTAAAAAGAATGGTGGAGTAATTGCTTTTCTTTATATCCTTCATTCTGCAAACACACACACATATAATTAGAGTCAACATGTTTGAAGTCTACTTCATGTGAGGAAGACAGACAAAGAGAATGTTTAAAGAAACAGGACTTGTAATGCTTTGCCGTCTAATTTCATAAGCAATATACAATTTCATTTTAAAGTTGTGACTTTAAAACCTGAACTTACTTTGTTGTATTTGTGGTTTTATTATCTGGAAAGCATTTAAACCCATAAATGATTTTGAAACATTAGATTCTGGGCATGAGGCGGCCTGTAGCAGAAAGCTAAAGTCAAAGCCATGCCCTCCATTCTTTTTCTTCAGGGAGAAAGGTAAAGAAGTGTGATGTCTCATCTGTAAGGCTAACTGATTTTTACTTGGAAAACATGCCACTTGTTGATCCGGCCATGGACTGGATGTTGGTGATGTTTGGCTAAAAGGCAAAAACAAGAATCAAAATGCAGTGTGAATGTAAGTGGAAGTCTATCCAGTTCAAATAACCATATGACTGAAGAATAACATGAACAGAAGTCTATAAGATTCAAGAATATCAAAGTATGTTTTCTTTCTTTGTCCTTCTGGGAAGTTAAGGCTGTCTCTGGAAGTATCCAACTGCAAAGCCAGAGATTGACTACAAGTGAAAATGAATGACAAACAAGGTAAACCAAGCAACAATAGGAAAGGAAAATCATACAGTCCACATTCCCCTTCTCAACAAAACCTGATTGCTTCCAGTATGTGTTTTTTAGGAAGTATCAGGAAAGGGCGTCAGAAGATTCCTGAAGACTAGACTTGTCTTTGTTATTTATGAAACATGCTATGGTCTGCCTGAAAGAATACAGGCTCTGCGGATACACCTCAGATTTGTGCCACCTGGTTTCTGAAAATGAAAAATCCAAATAAAGATAAGAAAAATACTTAAAGAAAACAAAAAGATAAATACTGTGATCTAAAAGAGGTACAAAACTATAGCCTTAAGTTAATCTCAAAGCTCTATGCAAGACAAAATGTCTGGGTTTAATAAGTCAAATGGTGGTGTAAAAGTGTATACCATATGTTTATTCGTATTGTACCAAATAATTTATTCATCTATTGAAATACCCTGCCTCCAGCAATGGCCAATAATGATGCTGGGAAGACAGAAACACTACACAACATATATAGATGTACATAACTTGTGGCACTAAGGAAATCTTTTCTTACTCATGGATTACTACCTTCTTTGTCTCCGTTTGTGCATACCCAACTGCAAATTAAATCTTAATACTAGTTACCTGTTTTTTCCTAGAGCTTTGTATGACCGATTCATTTCTTTCGTTATCTTCTCTGCATTCTCAAGAGCAACACTTCCACAATCTGCAACATTAGTATTTGCATAAATGCAGTATAATTTACTGACTAGTGACACAATGTAAATGCAGTTCTTTTTGGACATCAAAATATTATAAGGAAATACAGGAAGTAACTATCAGGAAAAAGAGCATCTTTCATTTGACTAAGATACCTATACACACTTCCTGTTACAATTTTTGGAAGAGTGAACATATTAATCCAAAATATTTTCAGCTATTTAGGTAAGTGTATTGATTCAATGTACTATAACACAAAACATCTGAAAAAAAATTCCAGCTATAGCTCCTATTTCAGTAGGACAGAAATACAAGAGCTATGTTGACAGAAATTCTACAAAAGTAGAACATTTGAAACTGGAAAGCTATTACAACCAAAACATCTAAGTGCTTTTCAAAAGTGGAAATAATTGAGTTTGATTTCAGTTTTGGGTTTGTTTTTTTTTTGGGGGGGGGGTGTTGTTTTTTTTTTTTGGTAATTGCTTGGTTTTTAACATGTAGCCAGATTTCAAGTAAACATTGTCCTTTTTCTTCTTCAGATCCCACATGATACACTTTCTAGGTATAAACTTTGATTAGACTACCTTCTTTGCTTCTCCTCTGATTTTGTTGGTTGTCAGGCATGCTGTCCTAAAAGTATAAAGGTCCAGAAACCTGAAAAAAATGTTTTGTTAACTGATTTCCAACTCCCATGTACAAAGCAGTACACTTAATTGCTTCAGAGCCATACGTAAGACAAAAGCAGCATTTGAAAAGTACTTGGAATAATTAAAAATATTATAATTCACTATGCAATGCCTTGTCATGTGAATACACAGAACCAAACAGTCCAGACAGTTTTTGTTGCTAAAAATCTCAACATGCTATGTTGAATAAGACACAAAAGCGGTCAGTATTATTTTGTTAATCTCATCCTTACTGTTGGACCAGAAAGTCAGCACTTCACATCTGGGAGTTAATTGCATTTTTTAACATCTTACTAAGAAAGCAAAACTGAATGAAATGTGTATCTCTGGCTACTTAGTCAAAATTCTCTCTCTCAACACCCAAAATTTTATGCATGCTAAAGAGTAATATTATGAAGACCGTAATGGAAAATTATAAGGAATAATAAGGAATTATTTTCCTTTATAGCTAATCAGGAAGTATGTAATATAACAAGTTATATCTGTTACATACGTATGTTCCTGCTAAAATTACTGAACAGGGTCTAACTTTTTACACAGCACAAATCTCTTACTCCTTTCTGGAGTATGTTAAATGTCCTGTTGCACTGACATAATTGATACAATGTAGCAGCAGGTCCTCCTATTTAACTGCTTAATGTCCATTTAAAAAGATTATATTGCACAAAAATGTTTCCATTTTCTTGCATTTGCACTTTCAAATTAATTTGCAGCAATCCATTGCAATTGCATAACCACCATATTAAGTTCTCTTTCAGAACTTTATCTATATGGCAGACTAAAAGAAAGGCCTGGTTTTTTTTGAAAATTATGTTTGTGTTTATTAAATCCACAGATAGGTAAAACTATGAAAAAAGAGCACCTAATGGCTCTTACGTTGCTAATTTATTTTAAAAAAACCCTCCCTAATCTTTTCCTCACGTGCATTTTTACATCATTTCTTCTCCTTACATCACTCAACTGAATAAAATACTCTGCTTTATACATCTCCCACACCTAGTAGTACATAACATTTTCAACATTCAGTAGGAATTTTACTGCAATTATTCCTAACAGCATGAACATCTTAACCTGGTGCTTCAGTAGTGAAGCGTGGAAGAGGCACAGCAAAGAAAAGAGAAGTTACAGATAATTTTTAGCTCACAGCTGTCTCCCTTTGCTGGACAGCAAGGAATTCAGACAGTCATTACGCACAGCTTGATTTTGTTTTCGGCACGTTTTTCTGACTCCAGAGCACGTAGTCCTTATTAAGGAAGCCGACTCTTCAGCAGGCACATCCTCCGGGTAGCTCCTGCTACACGGGGCTGTTGAGTTTACATGATGTTGCTAAGGCAACTGTCGTCCTCGTCTCCGTCCCATCCCCCGAAGGCACTGTGCTTGGGGTTTAATTCAAAGAGCAGCAGTGACCTATGAAAACAAGCACAGCTGAACTGAACGGTGGCATTTTCAACTCTAATCACGAGTTACTTATTCCAGCACCCAAAACAAAGCATGCTTCTCTCTTCTGTTTACCTCCATCTTTTAGTACCTCATCTAAGCCACTTTTAGTATTATCTGTATCAAAGTAATTTTAACTGCATTCAGGCCCCTCATCTAAACAGTCCCCGTTAGTAGTTTTTCATATCCCTTTTGGCACCTTTAAGCTGCAGACTTCAAGGATACTTTTTGTTTGGGTTTTTGCATGTTTTTGTGGAGTTTTGTTTGCTTTTTAAGGTAGCAGACTGTGCTGAGACAGAAGAAAGGATAAAAGCAGTCGCCGTCAGCCTGAGCTTAACTGGCTTTGAAGGGAACTGGTTTCGATGGATGCCAGAAGCACCTGGAGGACGTCCCTGGGTTACACAAGGGAGAGGGGGGGAGGCGCAGCGGCTTCGTTTTAGGCTGAACCCGGAGCACCAGGCCCGGGGGGACACGTCAGCTCCCGGCTGACTGGAAAGGTGTATTACTTATACACTTGCAGGTGCCGGGCACAACCGGCCTCATGGTACCAAGCTGTGACACCACTCGCGTCCCTGTACTCCGGCCACACGGCGACCCAGCCGGTAGAGTACCTCGTTTACCCTCTCGGGCTGTCCTTGACAGAGCCGGAGAGTCTCTGGGACCAACCCACACCCCAACTTCACATCTCCCTGAGGTAAACACCCCAGCAGGCGGCTCTTCAGCAGCGCCCGTGAGGCGCTTCAGCCAGCCGTGAGCGCGGAAGGACAGCCTGGATATCCCCACCCCACGGAGGGCACCGGAAAGACAGGCACACGTATTCTCCGCCGCCGCGGCGTGGAACGCCGTTGTGGCGATCGGCCCCGGGGCGGGATGGCTCGCACCGACCTCCGCCTCCTTCCCGTGAGCCTCTGCGCCCGGGCCGGGGGGGAAATCCGACAGTGGCACAAGATGGCGGCGGACAGCGAAGTAAGTGTTCTCCCCATCTCTTTCCCTGTGTGTTTCGTCGTGGCAGTCTCCCTGCTCATTGCTTCTCCTCCTTTCTCCCCCCAGCCCGAGTCGGAGGTGTTTGAGATCACGGACTTCACCACCGCCTCCGAGTGGGAGAGGTAGGTGCTGCCGCTGGTCCTGCTCCCGTCATGGCAGGGGGATAGCGGGTTTCTGCCGTGTCTGCCCTGGCCGCTCCTGCCTACGGACCAGTCACCTGTGCCGCGGGAGGCCGAGCCGGACGATGCCCGTGGCACCCGGAGCCTCGTCACGGCTGTTCCGGCTTGTCTCTGCGGCCGAGGCTGAGGCTGTCACTGATGAGTTGGTTAAGAGGATCTAGCCAAGCTGTTCCTGAACTTAGACAAAGCTCTGGTTTGCTGTCTGTTTGCAGGGGATTAGAATAAACATCTAGAAGGCTTATGTGGTTTTTAAGTATCTTCCTGTTATTAAAATTGTCATCTTGCAGCTGAAGTCTTTGAAAGTTAACAGCATGCAAGAAAATTAAAGGTGAAGAGTGCTCTTATAGTCTTAACGTTATTTTTTTAAAGATGCTTTTTCAAGCGATGATGTTTTTGACAAAAGGAGATAGAGATTCTAAGAACTCTTTTAAATCAGAATTTAGTTTATAATTTTGTCGTAAATGCATTTTGTCGGTTAGTGGAGAAACAGGAGTGTGTGTTAAAAGTAATATGCTGCAATGCCAAGAAAAAAAAAATCCAACCCCCTCCAAAAAAGTGAGATTCTATAACCACTTTAAGCATGCTCATAGCAGTTGCTAAAAGTGACTGTCATTTGAAGTGTAAACATAGGAGGGCCATTTTACTTGTACAAGGAAGCAATTGTTCTGTTTTTATTCTGATAGTTTGTTTTTTTTTTTTTAATTGCTTTTTCTTTAGTTTTTTGGTTGGTTTGTTGTTTTGTTTTGTTTTTAAAGGAATTCTATAGCAGGACAACATATAGCCTGCTTTTTAGGTAGCTGAATTATAATACAGGTTTACTGTTCAGCAAATGTTAATGCCTTTCCCTTCTCCCTAATAGATTTATTTCAAAAATAGAAGAAGTATTGAATGACTGGAAACTTATTGGAATTTCTTCAGGCAAACCTCTAGAAAAGGTCAGTTACTGCTTCTTTATTTTCTTTGGAATTTGGATTACTAACTAGTAATACATGTCTATTACATGTGTTGCTGTTTTCTTAGGTGTGGCAGATAATGATTTCTACTGGGGAATTTCACTTGTAAAAATGGCAATTTCACAGATGCTTGTAAATTTGTTGGTGGGCTATCTGCCAAACAGGTTATTTTCCTCGTAAACCTGGATCTTCACGTAGGGCCTAGTGATTCCTCCCCTTCATTCCCCCTTGTTTTGAATCTGGAAGTGTGGTTGAAACCCTTCTAAATGCTCTTGTGAGACCTCACCTGGAGTATTGTGTGCAGTTCTGGTGTCCTCAACATAAAAAGGACATGGAACTGTTGGAACAAGTCCAGAGAAGGGCCACGAGGATGATCAGGGGACTGGAGCACCTCCCATATGAAGACAGGCTAAGGAAATTGGGGCTGCTCAGCCTGGAGAAGAGAAGGCTGCGTGGAGACCTCATAGCAGCCTTCTAGTATCTGAAGGGGGCCTATAGGGATGCTAGAGAGGGACTCTTCGTTAGAGACTATAGTGATAGGACAAGGGGTAATGGGTTAAAACTTAAACAGGGGAAGTTTAGATTGGATATAAAAAGGAAATTCTTTCCTGTTAGGGTAGTGAGGCACTGGAATGGGTTGCCCAGGGAGGTTGTGAATTCTCCATCCCTGGCAGTGTTCAAGACCAGGTTGGATGAGGCCTTGGGTGATATGATTTAGTGTAAGGTGTCCCTGCCCATGGCAGGGGGGTTGGAACTAGATGATCTTAAGGTCCTTTCCAACCCTAACTATTCTATGATTCTATGAAATTCTGAAGGAATTCTTTTGCCCTGTCATGTGCCTTTGTCATACCTCATATACGTACAGTTGAGGTTTGCGTAGTTCTACTTGTGACTCAGTATGCTTTACAAATTGGAGTGACTTTTTTTCAAAGTCTAATTAGAGCCTTTGTAGTGCTTTCTCAGTCCTGTAAAATGCAGAGGAAATTGCTGTGCTCTTCTGCATATTAGTGCAAATATATTCAGCTGCTCTGGACTGGATGTCTACTGTGTTTCCAGAGGAATTTTACAGTTCTTTATTTTAGTCAGGGTACAGAGAACTCGTGTTATCTAATAAACTACTTTTCAACCTTAGCTGTCAGTGTATTCCAGTGTGTCTTCTTTCCCAGACCAGACCCCTCTTCTTAATTCCTAGTGAGAAGGCACACTTTACAGATTAAAGGGTTGTCCAAGTTGGTTTGTTTTAGTAGCAGCATGCAATTCTGTATAATGATGTTCTCTTCTTTTTTTTTTTCCATAGAAACTTGCCTGTGCTGACACACAGAAGTTTTGCAGATCATAGAAAAAAATTCATTTATCAGTGAAAGCATATTAAAAAATAAATATCGAGGTAGCATTTGCATGGAATGGATTAGTTATAGATAGAATCCTAGGTGGGAAACTCCCATCTTTGGGCAAAGTTGAGGGTGCATGTACATAAGATGTAGAGTTGTGTATGAGAGGATTTATCTGCCACTTTGTTGCCATCTAATTCTGAAGACTTCTTTGGGAATATCTGGTCCTTGAAATGAGCGTGATTATTGGTAGCATGGGTTTTAGCGTTCAGCTGCCTTCATAGTGAAGTGCTTTGAGAATTTTTTCTTTTTAAATTAAATCATGCTTAGCTATTTAGTAATAAATACTTAACTGCAGAAAAAGGTGTATAAATATTATAGATCGTGTAGGTAATATACTTTTTAAGGCTTATGAATGTTAGTGTAAATTTATGTGTTCAAATAATATCTTCTGTTTTATATGCAGGGTGTATACACCACAGGAACATGGGAAGAAAAATCAGATGAAATTTCATTTGCAGACTTCAAATTCTCAATTACCCATCATTATCTTGTACAAGAACCCAGTGACAAAGATGGGAAGGAAGAACTGGTGGAAGGTAGGTGATAGTTCTCTTATATACCTGTAAAGATATTTCGGAATGTGGAATTCACAGTGTGTTGATTTGCTTCTGTGGAATTTTCTGGGATCTGATGGGTGTGATCAGATGTTCTGCTATTAGTATGCTTTGTATTCAAAAAATTGCAAATATAATTTTAAGTCAGCTGAATGGATGCTGATGTTTTCTTGTGTATCAATTTCTTTTACAGATGCCCTTCCTCTGCCTATGCAGGACTTGCTGTGCATGAACAATGACTTTCCTCCTAGAGCTCACTGTCTAGTAAGATGGTATGTATGCTGCCTCTTATTTTTAATAGAAATAGGTGTAGCAATGGAAAAATCTTTTTTGCTGACACAATCATTTGCAAGTTTTTTCCATCAAAATTTAAAGCTGAAGTAAAATGATTCTTTGTACTAGACACAGGGAGTGTGAATAAAGCCCACCATACTGTGCCTATCTTTTTTTTTTTTAATATCCCTCCAAAATGTTGTTGTTTTGTTTTTTGTTTTTTTTTTCTGAATTTCACACACTAACTAAGCTCTTTTATTTGTAATATTTAGATGTATTCTTAAAAGGAAAGGGTGCAGTACTTAAAGAAATAACCACCACCACATTCTTAGTAATGAAAATCTGTGGCACATTATAGCATTTTTCTAGAGAGATTGTCTTTGTGTATACATAGTTAAAGGTGTTATTACCATCAACTAAAAAAACCTGCAGGACTGATAGACCAGGAGGTCATCACATTATTTCGAGTACAGTGTTTGAATGCTGTTGAGCTCTGTTACTTTGTGATTTGAGAATCTGCAGCATTCCACGCCCGCTTTGTTCTTGTTGTCTCTGAAACAGGTAATCGCATCAAAATAAAAGATTCTGTAATATGTTGGTGATAATTAGGTTACTTGGGTTAAAATATTTCTAAAAAACCCATTCCAGCTGGATTGCTAAAAACCAGGAATGTGTGTTTTTTCTCTCTCTTAAGGTATGGTTTACGTGAGTTTGTGGTTATTGCTCCAGCTGCAAATAACGATGCAGTTCTCAGTGAATCCAAATGTAACCTTTTGCTGAGCTCTGTTTCCATTTCGTTGGGGAACACTGGCTGGTAGGTGAAAGCATAAACCTTCTTACATGTCTGGGTAAAACTCTAGCATACT